GTCAGATGTTTTTCTTCTGTGACGTTACTATCTCAGGTGCTCTGACAGCTGGGGGCTGGAAGACAGTGCATAAAACGTGATGCCGGTGATGAAAACTGATCCCATGGCTTCTCACTAGGGATGCATTGTGTGCCTGCTGGTCTTAAACCCTGTTCTCGTTTTGTTAGCATGGCGACCCCTTACTCGCACGTGTAGGTTTGGGATGGATGCTGCTCTTTCGGGTTTGCGGCATCCAGCATCTGCAAAGTGCTTAGGAACCAAATTCAATTCATTCAACTTAACAAATGTTGATTGTTTAGGGAGTTTGAAACCTAGATAGAGGAAAAAAGTCCACGATTAACTATATAATACAAGTAGATTAGATTTGATGTTCTATCAATAAAAGCTGTACTACATGTATTCTCCAGGCAAGAATACTGGAGTGGGTAGCCATTTCCTTCTCCAGGGGATCTTCGGGACCCAAGGATCAAACCCAGGTCTCCTGCACTGCAGATGGATTTTTTTTTTTTTAACTGTCTGAGCAACCAGGAAGCCCACTGTATGAACACGAGAGGGAGAAATGCAATCAGTGGAGGATGGGGGAGTGCAATGACAAAAGAGGGGGGAGTCCAGACAGGGGAGGACAGGGGAGTGCAACGGCAGAGCGGGGAGGCGTTCAGAAGTTCCGGTTTCTTGGGGCTCGTGGAAAATGTGGAAAGTCCCTGCTCTGGAAACGCCTGATTCCACTGTTGGGGGAACACCCGATTTACAGGAAACACACACAGAACTATTCCTTTAAACAATGCCACTTACCTAAAAACTGTGAGACTTGCGCTTTCAGATTCAATGGTTTTATCTTCTTTACCAGGCCTGTTTGTTTGCATGATGTGAGCGTTTGTAATTATAGTACAGGGGATAATTTTTACATAGATTAATTGTGAAAATAAAATATAAAATTAAAACCCCTTTTTAAAATGCAGTTCGTATAATAAGTAAAATACCTTGCTAGCAAGTATTCTTTGAGACATTTGAGACAAATTTGAGACATTTCTCTGAAATTCAGGCAATCTAATTTACTCTTCAACGACATTACAAATACTTAACCTTCCATGGGCCTCTGGGTTACAGTCACTGGAAACATAAACGTTACTTCCTTGGGTATGAAGAGTATAGTGTACTATCTCTAATGCTAAATGTTATTTTGGCCTTGGTTGTCTTTCACTGCATGAGAATAATGAAATGTCTTATTCATTATTAGAATCATAAGAATACAAAGTAAGAATTTATAAGAATAAAATTTCATTGCTGCTGCTGCTAAGTCGCTTCAGTCGTGTCCGACTCTGTGCCACCCCATGGACTGCAGCCCAGCAGGCTCCCCTGCGCATGGGATTTTCCAGGCAAGAGTACTGGAGTGGGTTAAGAATAAAAATTAAGTTTGATTCTTTCCATCATGAATCGCTGGAGAAGAGATAATGGTAGAGGAGTGTTGTTTAAATATGTGGAAATTTCGAGTAAGTAGGGACATACCAATCTGGGAAGGTATTCGGAATTTCCAGAACTCAGAACAGTGGGGTAGGCTTGCAGAGGGGAAAGGAAGCAGTGTGTACTGGGTACTGTGCACCCAGCATTGTCTTCAGTCCATGCTTTTCTTCATTTATCTAACCTCAATCTCGCTATCCATTCTGTGGGATAGCTTCTTTTCTGTCTTGTTTCTTTATTTTTTTTCCTTTCCTCTTTCTTCATCTCCCTCTTTTATCTTTTAGTTTTATTAAAGGTTTTTTAAAGCAGGTTTCAGAAGTCCTATTCTTTCACCCTGGCTTATTTAAAATATCTAAGCAATGTGGACATATTTTTATATCACCACAATGCCAGTATCCATCAAAATGATCATTTTTTGGGTACCATCTAATATCCAGTATGTAATCCAAGCAAACATCTTTCTGTGATTGGCTTGTCTGAATCTGGATCTATATGTGATTCACACATAGAGGTGATTGTTGTATCCCTGTCTCTTTTGATATAATCCAGTTCCCTACACGTGCCACCACCAGCCCCCTCCCCCCACCTTTTTCCTTCTGATTCACTGGTTGCAGAAACTGGCTCAGTTGTCCTATGGAATTCCCAAATTCTGGATCTGTTTGCTCCCTGGTGGTGTAAAAATGTAATTTGTATCTTTATCCCTCTCTTTTCCTACAAACTTTAGGTTAGCCCCAGAGGTTTGATTGGCTTGAAGGGTTTTTTGTTTTTGTTTTTTGGCAGAAGTTCTTCATAGGTAGGCGGTGAGTTTTGTGTGTATCCTGTGAGGAAGCCATAGTGTCTGATTATCTCGCATCTGGTGATGTAAAGATGAACTTTGTTCGTAATTGACTTTTCAGGAGGGTTTCATCCATTGATGATCTTTGCCCTGAAACAGTTATTTTCTTAGGAGATCCAAAATAGTGATCCTCTAATACTTTCTTCCCTGATGCTGGGAGGGATTGGGGGCAGGAGGAGAAGGGGACGACAGAGGATGACATGGCTGGATGGCATCACTGACTCGATGGGCATGAGTTTGAGTAAACTCCGGGAGTTGGTGATGGACAGGGAGGCCTGGCGTGCTGCAATTCATGGGGTCGCAAAGAGTCGGACATGACTGAGCGACTGAACTGAACTGAACTGAATACTTTCTTCCACATTTATTAGTTAAGAGTTTTTTTCTCAGTTAAAAAAATCTTTCCCTCATCAGTTCAGGCTATCTGGCTACCCTGAAATACAGTTATATAGGAAAGGGAAGGTAAATTTTTATTTTTGTTCCTTTTAATCACCAGATTTCTAGATAAGGATTTGATGCTTTAAAGGAAGATTTTTTAAAAAATTTTTTCATCTTATAGATAGAGAACTTGNAAAGAAAGAAAATTGCTCAAGATTTCAAACAGCTATTAAGGAATAGAAATGGTATTCAAACCAGTATCTTCTGGCCTCAAAAGCTTGTGCTATTTCTACTGTGTACCCTGCCCTCAGTCCTGTCCACTGCTACTGCAGCCGTCTTTGTCCCTTGCTTTGGTCTTCAGGAACCAGCTTCAAGGCTCCTTCTTTAGATCACTGCGGGCTTTGCACGCTTATGCTGTACTGCAGAGCTGTGGCTCCAAATGGAGGCGCTGGCCTGTCTAGGTCAGGAACTGGGCCAAGCCAGGAGACAGGTCACATTGTCTCTACTTAGGAGAGGCCTTCCCATCATAGTCTGTGCTTTAGGCTCCTGCAGCAGCCAAAGTGTGAGTCACTCTTGAGTTACGGTTGGACCAAACATCAGTGATGGGAACAATTTGGAGAGTCGTCAGATGTTAAGATGTCTTAACTAACTCTTCTAAACCACTTTCCCTTTCTTCTGCCACCCTAGCTCTCTGCCATTCCAGATTTGAGGGGAGTATTTAGGTAACTGCCTAAAGATTATCCTGCAATTCCTAAAGCTCTGTTGACTGTTTGTGTCCCTGGCATCTGGCCCCAACCACCCCCCCGAAACCTGTGGTCCATTAGTATCTTAAAGTAGTGTTAAAGAAGCAGAGATCACTTAGGAAATTTGGGAGATTTTCTTGGCTTTGTGGTGTCAACAACATCATGGGATTTCTAATGCTGGCGTCTCTACCTGACTCAGAGAAAGAACATTTCCCTTGATTTTGTATGATGCAGAGGTACAAAATCTTTTTTTAATGTCCTCCACATTTCACGCCTCCCAATCAACGTGGCAGTCTACATTATAAAGAAACAAATACCAGATGTCAGAATTGCAGTTTGAGGTTTCCTATGCTTGTTGTGGCTAAAGGCTCCACCTCAGCCTTGGATGTCCCGTGATGCACCTGTAAATCAAGGAGGCCCACACTCTTGCCGTCCCAGGCCAGCACCCAAACTCCCGAAATACTTACATCAGGAAAATAAATTATGTTATCTCCATCGTTGCTTACCGGGTACTATACTTAGTGACATGAAAACAGCAGTTCCCTGAAGCAGTTCTCTAGAAAAAAACAGGAAAGCAGTTCTGTAATCTGTCTTGAGAAGATAAGGTTAGAGACAGAATCTAGATATAAAAGTGGAAGAAGAAGGTGAAAAAGCACTGATATTCAGAGTAGCCTCCATGAAATTGTATTTAGATACTAGGCTTTTTACAGAATATCTGTCCCAGGGCTGCTATCTAGAAGGACTTTCTGTGATGATGACAATGTTCTGTATATATGCTGTTCAATAGGGAGCCATGTTTGGTTACTGAGCGCTTGAAATGTGGCTACCGCAACTGAAAAAAACTTACTGCATTTTAATTAATTAAAATTTAATGGCACATGTAGCTAGGAGTTGCCATATTGGACAGTGCAGATCTGACCCTTGTATTCTTAAATTTTTCTTTCTTCTAACCGTATACACATTTTGGAGCTGTTATAAAATTGTTCAAAAATTGAAGGTATTGATTTCCTTCATCTTGGTGATAAATTTTCCTTATGGAATTAGATTTGTAATGGCTTAGAAATTCCAGCCTCCTTTAAAGTGTAAAGTGTTGCTCAGTGGTGTTCCACTCTTTGCGACCCCATGGACTGTAGCACACCAGGTCCCTCTGTCCTTGGAATTCTCCAGACAAGATACTGGAGAGGGTTGCCATTTCCTTCTCTAGGTGATCTTCCTTTGCTCTTTTTTAGGGGATCTTCCTGACCCAGGTATTGAACCCAGGTCTCCTGCATCACAGGCAGATTCTCTACCATCTGAGCCACCAGGAAAGCCTTGTACATAAATTTTTATTATGAGACTAACCAAGGAAAAGTTAATTATGCTCAAACTTTGAGTTTTAAAATTTGTGTAAATTATATATCCTTTAGTGGTGATGATTATAACAGTGATGGGAATGCACTTAATGTGACTAAACTGTACACCTAGAAATGGTTAAAATGGTAAATTTTGTGTTAAGTGTATTTTACCACGATAAGGAAATTCTGTCCTTTGTTTTCTGTCACCAGGACTGATTTTAATTTAGTCTTGTTAAAATTTCCCGCTGCCCGTAGGCCTCGCTGAGAATCTGGTCCTGAGTATTCCTGGCTGCAGTGTGTTTCTCTTTGGTGAGGCTGACCTGCCCGAGAAGCGCCCCCTTGTCCAGAGAAGGAAGCAGCTGGGCTGGTTCACAAGGAGGGATTTCAGCGCTCTGAAACCTGACCTGGGAGCTGCACCTGCCAGAAGATGTGGTTTGACAGGTTCGCAGTCTGGATTTTTTTTCTGCTTTGGTTTTTAAACTTGAGCATCCTGAGGTTGCCTTCGTTTGGTCTCTCCCACATAATGCAGGAAGGTTACAGCTGGAACTTTCTTGGCTTGCTTGAAGGTCTCCTCTCAGCTCTTTCTACTTACGTCTTCATGAGCCACGCGGGGAAGCTGGAAGCCCTCATCAGATACTCGATAGGAGCCCCGAAGAGGGCTGTTCAAGATAGATAGTGAGCCCTGCTCATCAGTGGCTGCACTGATGAGGAGAATGGTTGTCACTGGGATGATGGGTCCTGTTGGCCAGGCATGAGGTTGCATCTGGAGACACATGGCGGCCCAGGATGTGGGTGTAGCTTCCTTTTAGCTGGTGGGAAGGGCTTTCAGTACTTAAACATCCAGAGTGTCCAGGCTGATGCTTACACCTGATGGTGGTGGAGGCACCCTGGGGAGAGGCTTTTCTGCACTGCGGGCTCTAGAACAGTGAGAACAAACCCAGGGAGCAGTATTCTCCCTTGCCCTGGATCTCATCTGCTCTTGTCTCTCTCTGCTCCTCCTGCCCACTCCTGGCTTAGAGCGTATCTTCAGCAAAGGCAGTGGCACCCTCTCAAAAACTCCATCTCCATTTGCTGCAGTTCACCATCCCAGGTCCATTTATTTGAGTCTTGATTCTTTTATCCTCTAATATCTTCTGTAGGGATCACTAGTTAAACCATGTTAGGTCACATTTTGGTAGTTAATATTTTAGCTGCTACTAAAATACTAGGTCCCAAGAAGCAAGAGGTGGGCAACCTTAAGAAACATATTTCCTCAAGGCACAGTTACACATAGGCTTTTGGTTACTAATCCCTGGTGCAGAATTCTGCTCTCAAACCAATGACATCTATCATCCGCTAGGGCAGTGCAGTGAAAAGAGTACGGGCTTTGGCAGTGAAAGTCGCTCAGCTGTGTCCCACTCTTTGTGAGCACCCCGTGGACTGCAGCACAGCAGGCTCCTCTGTCTATGGAATTCTCCAGGCAAGAATACTAGAGTGGATTGCCATTTCCTTGTCTAGGGGATCTTCGTGACTCAGAGATCGAACCTGGGTCTCCTGCATTACAGGCTGATCTTTACCATCTCAGCCACCAGAAAAGCTCAGAGTGCAGACTTTGAGGCTACGCTCACATCCTGACCTTGCTCTTCATTGGCCATGTGACTTTAGAATGTTCCTTAGCTCAATAAGCCTCAGTTCCCATATCTTTAAAATGGCCATATTAATTATTTTTCCCTCATGAGACTGTAAAGTTTAAATGATGGCTATTAAGTGCCAAATGTGGTACCAAGGGACCATTTTTCCTTCCGTTTAGAGAAAAGATTTATTTAAAAAGTGATTATAAGTGTGTTCTAGTCTTTACTTGCGGAAAAAAAGGAAGAATCTGATTTGAACCCTGCCAACTTGACCCTCACATATTTTCCCACGATTTGTCTCACAAATGGAGAAGTGTAAGTTTGTGACTAAGTTTTCAGAAAGCTATTTCCTGGTTTCTAATTTGAGCCTCGCTGAAGACCGAAAGGATTATTACACAAAGCTAGTCAGCACAGTGCCGGGTGACTGAAATTACAGTTGGAGGACGGGAATTGGAAGCAGGAATCCTAGTACTGGAGAACAGAACTGGATTTAGTGTTGGGTTAGACAGTCCCTGGGAAAACTTGACTCTCATTTCTGCCGTGTGGTGGGGCTGAATGGGTTGGTGTTTGGGAGGAACTTTAACCTGCTCTGAAAAGCATATCCGAGTTAAAACCTGAATGTTCGTGGTATCACGAGTCATGTTCAGTCTTCTAAGAGCAGACTCAGTTTGTGATCGTTTAAACCAAAGTGAACAGTGCTCCCCCATCTCACCTAATGATTTTCTGATAATCTCACCTGTTTTACATTGTTTGTTTGGAATGTACAACCCATTGGGAATTTTGATTCCTTCTCTGTTTTTTACTCCACATGGAGATCTGTGATTTACATGGAGAATTTCATAAACATCTGAAAATCCTAAGTTTACTTTAAAATGCCAAGATTGACACAGATATGTTTAAAAGATGGTATTTTTAAAGGTAATATTTGCACTGGTAAAGATGTAGTTAGAGGCACTCATGCAACTAATGGTAGCATCAGTTGGTATAAACTTCCTGGAAGTGAGTTGGTGATGTGTATCAAAAGCTCTAAAAGTATATGTAACTGCTTTGCAGAAATTCTAGTTCTAGATTTATCTTAAGTAAATAGATTTATTCCTGAGGAAACAATAAAAGGTACATGTACTTATGTACCAGTATGTTTATCAAAGAGCTATTTATAATAATAAATACTGGAAATAATGTAAATGTTCAGAATTTGAGAGTGATTAAATAAACTATGGAATACCTTGGCAAGAGACCATTATGCAAGCAATTAAGTGTGAAGGTTTGGAGGAATTTTTAGACAAGTGGAAAATACAGTAGAAAATACAATGTAGAGAGAATTTTTAGTTTATTAATTAACACAACAAATATTTATTAAGTACCTAAATGCGCCAGGCACTACTATCAATGGGAAAAATAGAATTTATTTGCCTTCAAAGAATTTATATTCCAGTGGGGAAGGGGTGAAGAGAGCAAAAAGAGAAACAATAAGTTACAAGCTTAATAAATAATTAATTATATGATATGTTAGATAATAAGTGTTGTTGTTCAATCACTAAGTCATATCATGCTCTTTTGTGACCCCATGGACTATAAGCCCACAAGGTTCCTCTATCTATGGGATTTTCCAGGCAAGAATACTGGAGGGGGTTGCTGTTTCCTTCTCCAGGGGCTCTTCCCAACCCAGGGATCGAACCCAGGTCTCCTGCATTGGCAGGTGGATTCTTTTCTGCTGAACCATGGGGGAAGCCCCTAGAAAATATATGCTACAGCCAAAAAAAAGAAAAAATCAGACAGGACAATGGACATCATGTGCCTGGAATGGGAGTAAACCATGGTTGTCAGACGGGATAAACGAAGTAGGCCTCGTTGTGAAGGAAGTGTTGGAGCAAAGACTAGGAGAGAGGCAGTTGGCCATGTGGAAATGTGGACAGGAGACTCAGGCGGAAGGAACATCCAGGGTCAAGGCCAAAGGATATAAAGCAGTATAGTGATTTCAGTATTGTAAAATATATATGCACCTATTTATTTTATTTATCTTATATGTTTGTAAGGAAAGGAAATTCTTAAAGCTTCCAACTTATTTTCACTATTTCTCTAAATTGATCTTGTTATTATTGCCATCATCTTTCATAAAGGGCAATTATTGAGGTTTATCATGTCTGTAGAAGCTGGATTGCTGTGCATTCATATTCATATTGCTGACAAAAGAGTCAAATAAGAAAGGAAAAGCAGCACAAGTTTCCCCCCATATGTCTTTTTTGCTAATATCTCCTTTCAAGTGGTAGGCTCTTTAGTTTGTGCAAAAGACATAAAAATTATAAGTTGCCAAGTTTAGGTAGACCGTTACTCCTTGAGGGACTCATTTAATAGGCTCAAAGCAGATTCTAATAGAACATTAAAATGTTTCAGAGAGGAACATAGATATAGTATAGACAAATGATTTCATGAACAAGATTGTAATTCGAATATAAGTCAATGATCAACTGAAATCTTAGGTTACCTTACTTGCCCAAATTATCTGTTAAGAAACTCTTATGTAAGAAGGAGTAAAATGGTTTCATTTTTAAAAGTAATATCTATTGCAGTAGAATTTCTAGCACCTCTGTCACTAGGGTTAAAATATTATTCATCTAATTTTTCAACAAGCTTAGTTCCCAACCATGGCAATTTCCCTCATTTTTAAATTTAATGGCTTTATATATTTTTCTAACATTCTTTATTTACATCAGTATTTCTCAACATAATTTTCCGCTCCTCCCATCAAAACAGAAAAGCTTCAACACATTGTTTCTATGTTTATTTCTTTTCCTAAAAAATTTAAATAGAAATGATTGGTGCTATGAACTGAACACTTACAGTTCACTTTCCAGTGACAAATTAATCTATACGGTACCCAAAAGGAAGCAGAATCTATAAGGGAACAGGTTTCTGTTTTGAAGTTCCTTGAGAATATTATAAACAGAAGAGAAAAAAGTGAGCTCAGAAATGATTAACACCCAGAGTCAGTGCCAAACACACAAAATCTTTTAAACCAAATTCCTTTTAAAAGTTTGTAGTTGGCCAGCTCATGAGGAACATAAATAAGGACAAAGCAGTAATAGTTGATACTTTTAGATCTATAAATAAATACTTTATACATATATATTTTAAAACCCTAAACATGTATGGGATAATTTAAACACTGCTGGCTGATATATTGTATGACTGGCCTGCATATATGCATCATTGTTTAAAAATGAGGGACAGTTCTTTGAACTGTAGTTTCACATGGTGCCATAGGAATCATAGATGGAGGTAATTGGCACATCTTGGGATCAAGGACTTCTGTTTAGTTATTTCAGTGGGTTACTGAGAGCTGCCTCTGCTTGCTTGTTTCTCTCTGTAAATGAGAAACTGCAGCATCAGGCGCTTTTCTTGACATTGAATAATGCCATTAACTGCATACCCCAAATTTTACCTAGTCTTTGAAAAATAATTTCTAGCCTTAGAATGAGTCCTGTATTCAGGAGCCTGTATCTGTAATTTTCTATGTTTGCTTGTAAATCTGTTTGGGATGATGGAAGATGAAAGTCTCAATGTTTAATGACATGTGTCACCCATAATTAAAACATGAAGGACCATGTCTCTGCATGAGCTAGTGAAAGGCACTTTTCTATAGAAAACCTGGGAGCAGGGAAGTCACCTGAGGTTGTTTTCACCTGGGCTGGCTTCATTCCATGATGATGTTAACATGTATCTACCTCTGTGATTTCGTCTCTGAATCGCTGTTACTCTGAAAGATTCAGAGTTGACAAATTGAGGCTTACGGTTCCTCACAGAGTAGGAAAAATGTCATAGCTATTTTGCAGAAAGACAGCTGAGCAGAGGCAGTGTCCCTGAAGAAGTGGAGCTTGCACTCAGACCCCTGGGGAGCCATTCCCAGCCCTGTGCCGCGGCATCACTTAGCTTTCTCTTCTGTGGATTTGGCCACATGCACAAGAGTCCTGCGTTCTTCCCGCCATGGGAGTATTGGACTTAGCAATTATGTTTGCATTTTATGGCTTTAGTCATCAAATGTCCTGTTTCAGCTGTGGTTTCTCTTTAATACATGTTCTAAAAAATGTAAAATACCGATATGTAATGATGACTAATTGCTTTCAGTGTAGTAACAGCTGTCTATATTTTTGAACCTGAGTTCCAAGGCTGTCGTCTTGCTCTGTTTGTTACTCTGAAGCAAGGCCCACAGTTAGGCTAGGTTTTATCTTTTGTGTAGCCTTCATGTTTTTACACCCAGGAACCTGCATGGTTCCTGGCACTCAGCAGGTTTCAGTAAAAACATGTTTAATAAGAGAGCCGCACATTAGTTCATGAGAATCTCTTTATTTATTCACTCTGTAATGCAATCCATAAATTTGAAGTTCTTTCTTCAGACATAAAAATGCAAAATACTCTAAAACACCACCTTGGCTCCCTCCTTACGCATCTTTTAAAGCTAAGCCATCAAAGCAGAGCTTCATATAATAAAGAGAACTTTTAAATACATCCCTTAGCAAACTTCTGACCCCCTAAAACAAAACCCCTTCTGTTGGAGGAAAATATTGAGAATCTTTTTACCATTAATTGATTGAAGGTGATGGTGCCTGGAACAATTTTTGAGAATAAGTTTGATCTAAAGGGAAAAAAAAATGTGTTTTTTCTGAGTGCTGCTTTTCCATTTTTCTAATGGGCTCTTCACTATTGTTTTGTCTGAATGCAGTTTTTTATTTGTGTTATTCCAGACGTGGTCCTACCACAAGCATCTTTAAACCAGACATTAATAGCATAGTTCACAGTCATTACTGCCAGTGCTCAAACACAAATATTGCATTTGTGTTTGTAAAAACTACACATCAGATGTTAATTAAGTGCATTTGTTTTTTTTATGCTTAAACAATCTGGCATAAAGAGTTTACATCTATATCAGTTCACCATAAGGTCTCTACAATATCTGAATCACCAGCCGTACAGTATATGATAAATACAGTGTTTCCACACAGGAAAATAACAGAATTGTCAGGAAAACATCAGGCCTGTTATATTTCCCTGTGAAATAATAGCAACTGAATCTCAGTTTCTTTTTGATAAAAAAAAGTATTTAACTAGGAGTAAACACCAATATTTAGAATGATAAATTTTTCATTAAAGAACACATGGAAAGTGAAATCATACCAAAGATTTTTTTCCTTGTTTTTAGCTTGCTTCAGGGCGTTGTGACAGTTGCTTTGGAATAAAATTGGAATTTCAGCTTTGCAGTGAGATTCATGCTGCCGCCAGAGCAGCCGAGTGCCAATCTGCGGGAGGCAGGAGCCGAGCGAAACCGCAAACTGAGAAACAAACTTTCACATCAGGTTTCTAATTTTAGAGCAAAAAATGGAATTACTTTAATTATATGACATTTAACTGGAAATACGATTTGCTGGGATTAATTGCCTCCCTTAATTAAAAAATTTTTACTAAGTTTAAATTAGCATAAAAAGTCAAATCCAGCATCTTAAATAAGGTCAGTGGGACTGCTGGATTTAAATGCAGAATTTGATTGATTAGAATTGGATCACCATATTGGTGTTGGACTTGGGAAGGATTAAATTGAAGAATTAGAAACGTGTGCATTTGGGCAGAAAACAGTTTCTCTCTTTTTCCTTCTTTCTCTCTTCTTTTCTTCCTTCCTTTCTTCTTGTCTTATTTTCTTCCTTCTTTCTTTTTCCTAAGGCAGAAATGGATCATGGCCTTATAACCTCTCAGGGTGAAAACCACTACCTGCTTAGACCAGAAACTTCTCAGCTTCATTGCCTTGTCTCTGTTAATCACTGCTTAAGTAAGACATAGTGGTAAAGCGAAATCAAGTATTGTGTAGCTAAAGCTCAATAGAAGAGTTTAAAATACACGTAACAAGGACATACACCAAAAGTATCATTCTGTATATAAGTGATTACTCTTACTTTATTCAAAGTGAAGTTGAGTGAAGTCGCTCAGTCATATCTGACTCTGTGCGACCCCATGGACTGTAGCCTTCCAGGCTCCTCCATCCATGGGATTTTCCAGGCAATAGTACTGGAATGGGTTGCCATTTCCTTTATTCAAAAGAGAATACAGAAGTTACTTCTTATGTTTAATTTTATTTTTCTAAGGAATAATTAATTTTAAAGTATGCTTTTGAAGGAATTTTTAAAGTAGAGTTTTCTTTTAATTGATTAAGTCTGTGTTGGGACAAGTGAATTCTTTGTGACACTCGTGCTCTGGACTTAACATCTAAATTTCTTATACATTTAATAATTTATCTTAGGTAAACTATTGTTTATATTATCTTTTATCTTAGGTAATAAATTCATTTATTAGCAAGAGTGATCAATTTTAGAAACTCTGTGACAAAAGGGACAGTTATTGGGCACATGGTGATAAAAGGTGCCTTGCAATCTGCTAGAGGATTTAGAAGAAGTCTTGTCCCATGTATTTAGGGATCAAATGGCCCATACTACCATATTGTCAGAAGGAGAGGCCCTGGGTCCATATGAATGAACTTGCCTTGAAAGTGACTTGCTCCCCGCAAAGTGATAAATTACACTAAATATCTGAACATTGACTAGGCATATCAAAGTTCTGCAATAGCAGAACACAATAGGCCCAGTAGGTATTTTGAATAGTACTTAGTATAAGCCCCCCCATATGAAACTCTACATATGTATATTTATATACACACACGCACGCACTCTTTTCAGCAAAATGTGAGCATGATCTAGCTATCTGTTTGAATAGTGATAAAGATGAGGCCACTTCTTGAATCAGAATAGGGTATGTGTATCAGATACGAGGCAATGGGATTGTTTGTAACACTACCTGTTCAGGGGTAGAGGAGAGAGGAACTATGCTTGGATGCTTTCAATTAATGAATGACATTAGCATTGACAAAAAAAAAATGTACAGTTGTACTCTGGAAATGTTAAAACTGATATAATTCTCAAAGATATTTAGAGTAAGTGATTGGTGTATGAGGTTGAGAGAGATATGTATTGACTGTTAGGAAATTTAATTTTTATGAAATCAGCATTATGGAGAAATACTGTAATTTGATTCATTCCTGCAGAATTCCCAGTAGAAAGAGGCCCAGCCTCGGGAGTTGAAATGTTTCATTATGTACATGTGTGGGAAAAAGATGAAATGTGGTTTCCGTGTGCTGATTTTTTGTAAAGCGTCTATTAGTATGAGAGTACCCAGGCTAGGCAGCAAGGCCCTCAAACCACGGCTGTCAAGGGGAGAGTGAATTCAGCAGGATCTCTCGTTGAATACTGACATCGTGAGCAATAAGTTTGAAAGCAGTAAGAAAAAGCAATGACAGTAAAATGATGTTGAAATAGTAGCTAAAGAATTGTCTTATGCTGAAGATGAGGTCAGCCTTTTATCCCTCATCAATCCCTAGTCAACTTTGCTTTTAGAAATGTGAAGTTGCCCCAAAATGAGGAAACTGCAAACCTAAGCTTTTTATACCAATGCTAATTTAACCAAGTTGTCCATCTTATAACGTAAACTATAATTAGAGCAGGGATATTTATGTAATCTGAGCTGCATCATCCCCAAGGCAGGGTAAAACATGCTCTAGAGTAACTGGGCTCTGGAATAGCAATGACAGTCCTAGTCCCTTGGGAAGCTGAGGATGGAAGAAAGACATGCCTCCAACTGGTTATACCAAGAAGGTATACATAGTGCTCCAAATCCTGCCCTGCCAAACCTACGTCATCATGAGACACAAGAGTCCCTTTGTCCTTCCCAATTCCAAGACTGTCACTTTTTAGTGACCTCCTTTACTAGCCAAGACTGTTGAGGTTCATTCGAATCTGATCTTAACCTAGTTCAGTGATGACAAGTCTGTGTTTGGGGAGGAAGAGATGAGTACAGAGTGTGATTTCTTTCTGTCTCCCAGACCCATAGACCTGGCACTGAATTCCAGCCCCTGTGGAGATGGCCTTGTAAATGAATGGAAGGCCAATACATTTTATTGCTATTGATACTTGATTTTCAAATGTGCCTTTTGAAATATCTGTTGATATTTTCAAAAGTCTGAGCTTTTCTTAACCATTCTAGAGTAAACATCCAGATACATTTAGAGTAGATAAAAATATCTACTTGTAGCTCAAATAACTCTGTTGGTAAAAAATATGTATGACCTTTAGAAAATTCTGGAGTTAATAATGAGGAGTATTTCTGTGTAATATTTTAAAATAAAATCAAGTGAAGTCAATAGAATAAAGTAGAATTGGGTAAAGACTAGAATCTTCAAGATGAGGCTTTTACTTTGCTTGACTAACATGCTTTTCTAATGATTTAGGCATCGGCGCTAGCCCGTACGTGATGAACTGCAATGTTACCATAGATTCTCAAGACTTGGCTCTGGGAAAAGAAATTGCTAGTGCCATTCGGGGCTCAAACATGAATGGACTGAAGGGCGTCCAAACGATGGCTTTTCCTCATGAAGGGAAAATTGAGATAGCTTGCAACGTAGAGAGCTTTGAAGATCAAGAAGTTACAGAAACCTCCGAGGGCTCTCAATACATGGCTTACAATGTCCTTGGGGACCATTTTTATTATGTATCTCCTCATTACATAGAAGCTCAAGTTAAAAAATTGGCAAGTGATCGAGGAATCGGTACGATAGGAAGAGCATTAATTGGATTTACACCCCAAGAGTGCAAGAGCTGTGCTGAGTATGCAATCAAAGAAAGCATTGGGGAGTTCTGGAAGATACGTGGAGGTGTTTTCATGTGATCCAATCTGAGGTTTCATTGAAATTGTAAGAAAAAAATATCAGCCATTGCAAACTTTTCTTATTGGCCTGTGAAGACAAGGAGAAGATCCAAGAGCTTGGTTCCAGGTGTGAATTGGAAGACTAGAAGCATTCTCTGTCCAACGACAGCAACAGGTGTTTATAGGTTGTAATTGCTTTATGATATTTCTAGTCATCATTGAAACTTTGTGAAATCTTCCTCTGTATCAAGTTCATGCACTTGGCTGTACTAGAAGCCCCCCTGAATGAGCTGGACAAAATGGCCATCGTTACTGAATCATCTTTGATTATTGTGAACTCAACTAAAAACAGACTTCGTTTGTTTGGTGTTCCTCAGCTCTTTATTCCAGAGTCCTGTATCCAATTCTCATTTTTTGAGTCATCATTTTTTTTAATGTGTACTTTTAAAAATCAAGTACTACGTAACTAAAAAATGGGGAGAATTATAAACTAAAATTATCAAATAAAAGACTAATCATATTCTTTTATTCTTTCTTGTCTTGTTTAGGATGACCTACTATTCATTCTGGAGATAATTCCAAAAGCCAGATTTGTCTAATTTTTTTATGTTTATGTGGGGAAGTGGAATGGCGGTTTGGGCATGACTTCAAGGGATTATATATATCCTTTTTGGAATTTAAATGGAAGTCTGAAGGTTTAGGGAATTTATTACTCTTGAGTGAAGTGAAGGATATTGGTGGAAGAATTTTATTTGAAAGAAATCAAAATATGTTGCCTCTTTGTGAACTAAAAGAAGCCACTTGCTAATTCTGGTAATTTTATGTAAATCCTTAGTGCTTATGTTTTTTAGTACAAGGTGTTTTTCTGTCCATAAAACACAAAGAAATAAATTTTTCCATAGATTTTGTCTAGCAAATAAATTGTGGTTTTGGCTAATAAGAGCACATAATGTGAATTTAAGTAATTAAAAATAAAAGAGGTTGAACTCAGTCTTTTTATAGGATCCAGGGCATGCATGCATTCTCAGTTGCATCCAATTCTTTGAGACCCCATGGATTCTAGCCTACCATGCACCTCTGTCCATGGGATTCTAGAGGCAATAATCCTGGAGTGGGTTGCCATTTCCTCCTGTAGGGGATCTTCCTGACCAAAGGATCAAACCCAGGTCTCTTGTGTCTCCTGCATTGGCAGGCAGATTCTTTATCACTGAGCTGCCTGGGACACCCATAGGATCTGGTCATCTATACAGTCTGTGTATTGGCCACGCCAGATCTTCCGTTGCAGTGTGGGGCTCTTCGTTGCGGTGCGTAGGCTTCCTCTAGTTGCAATGTGTCGGCTTCTCCTGTTGCAGCCCATGGGCTTAGTCCCCCAACTAGAGATCAAAACCACGTCCCCTGCATTGGAGGGCAGATTCTAAAACCACTGGACCACCAGGGAAGTCTGTGTCCTAACATATTTTTTTGACTTACATTTGACTCTTGACTGCCACTGCATTAATTTTGTTTCAGAATTATACTTTTTTGGTGTTTTCTTATTGCTGTCAATATAAATACAAGAAAGATGGAGTAATGATGAACCACGTGTGGTTTTCAGATGCAAGGAAGTTTAGCTGCTGTGGTGAAAAGAGCAGATGCTCTCCAGTTAGACCCAGTGAATCTGGGAGAGCTTCGAAGTAGTCATACCTTGCTTTTCTCTTGCTTTGGCAGAGGCCATGTGGCCTAGTAGGACAAGCCCTGGACAGCAGATTCTGGCTTGGGTTCTGGCCCTTGTTATCTTTCATGGAGCTATAGTTTAATTACCTGTAAAATAGGGAAAAGAGTTTCCACCCAGATCATGTTCTGGGGAATTAAATGGAAGTACTTTGTAAGCTGTAATGTGAAAATGAAATATTAGCACTCTTTCCAGATCTCACCTGGAGCTCTGCTTCACTTCTGGTCATCAGCGTTGAGTACATGGGGCTTCCGTGGTGGCTCAGATGGTAGAGGCCACCCACAATGCGGGAGACCAGGGCTGATCCCTGGGTGGGGAAGATGCCTTAGAGAAGGGGATGGCTACCCACTCCAGTACTGCTGCCTGGAGAATTCCACGGACAGAGGAACCTGGTGGGCCACACACCATAGGGTCGCACAGAGTCGGAAATGACTGAGCGACTAACACTTTCATTAAGCGGGTGATTGAGAGTAAAAACACAGGATGTGACTGTGTCGTTTGGGGATGTAGTAGCAGTTGATTCATTTGCCATTTCCCTTCTTAAGCTCTCCAGATTCATATCACTATATTCCAGACTGGTGGTTTTGAGCAAGTCTTATTTATAACCAAATATCTATTTAATGGGTGTATAGAGTTTCAGTTCTTGAAGGCAAAAAAAAAGCAAAATTCTGGAGATGGATAGTAGTGATGATTGTACAGTAATAAAAATACTTAATGCCACTGAACTACACACTTAAAAATGGTAAATGTTATGTGTATTTTACCACAATTAATTATTGAAAAGTATATATTAATTTCATAAAAGTTTAAAACAAAAAAAAATCTGAATAAGGTAATTTCACTAACTCTACACTTCCTAAATAAAATTTTATCAAATTTCTAATATCCATTAAAGTATACAAGCATATAAGAGCTGTTTTTCCCTTTTTCATCTGTTATGATGATCTCAAGTACTACATATGAGGCTTAGTTCATTGGTTTAAAATAGAGTTGATTAAATTTGGACTATGACACAGCTATCCATTTAAAACAATAATTTACTATTTTTGTTACAAATAATTTTCAAAACCAGGACAATGTTACTCCTTACCTCTTGTTCATATTTTAATTCCCCTGTTTTTGCTGTTGTCTTTCTGTCTTCCCTTTCTTTCTTGCTCCACCACGTTTCTCCAGAAAATCTGAAGCAGTTGTAAACTGATGAAGATTTATCCTAGGGACAGACGTGGTATCATCAGTTCTTTCTATGTGTGAGCTGACAGAAGCAGCTGGGTTGATCTAGAATGATAAGCATTATCAAACTGGGTTGAGAAAATCTGACCAAACTACAAATACGCAAACTAACAAATACACTAATTCATATTAACCTTTTCTCATATTGCTGTCTTACAAGCAGACCAACACTTGGTGCTAAAGTTCTGCAGTACCTTGTCCATTGGACCTTAAAGTGGACATTGTACGGCATGTGGCTTCATAGCTTGTTTAACCGCCATCTCCCGCCAGATGACTTTGCCCGTGACTTGCGCCAGTTGTAAATGGGACAGAATTGATGTGGACAAATAGTTTACGTTTTATTAACTCTTCAGTGTTTTTGCTCTACCCCACTTTCCACTTCAACTTTTAGTTTGTTAGAAGAGGAATAAGGAAAGCAAAAAGCTAGCCTATGAGGGTGATAAGGGCTTTTGTTGGTGGTGGTGAGAGGAGATGTCATTATTTCCATCCTGAATTTGGGCTTGACTTCACGATGTTAAAATGTCTTTAACATAAGGGGGAGGGGCGGGCTAAGTGAAACAGAACTGTAAAATAAAGTAAAATGGGGGGTGATATTTTCATTCCTCAACATAATGAAAAGCCTTGCTCTGTAATTGGTTTGTACTGTCTTGGAAGTGGCGTCCGTGGACCACAAAGGACCACTCTATGAGAGATCTGCAAGGAATTTATCATTCCCTCTGGCTGAGCCAAAGCAGGCTTGATATCCAGTTTTGTTTAGTATAAATATTCTCATGTTACTGTTTACTTTGTGGGGATGTGAGGATCTCACTGACAGGGTACGTGCTCCACCGCCTCGCTTTTAAAAGGCATTTATTTGACTCTGTTGTTTGTACTTGCCCAGAAACTTCAGAGAATGGCTCAGGAACTTGTTTGATAAGCATCCAGACCATGCTCCCGGAGTATGTAGCGCTTGGGGGTTAGAAAAGCTTATTGTTTTAAGCAGGCCCGCACACGGCTTTGCAGGAGCCCATTTTTCATAGGTAAGAACATTTAGGACGCTAACAGCAATCTCAGAGAGCGCTCCCCTAAGGCACGTGGAAAGGTCCTGGTGAGCGTGGCTGGGGCTGAACTCAGCCTGATGTTGGTTTACTCTGTCACTTCTTTGCCCTATTTGCAGTATTTTGGGGCAGATTAGTTTACTGTGAGTTAAGATATGCATCAGAGACCTAACTACGAGATGCGTTTCTCTTTTTAAAGGCGTGGTGTGTGTGTGGTTCAGCTGTTGTCTCTCAGCCCACACTGACCCTTCCCTGCACTGCGTCTGCTGCCAGGATGCTGCACACCGCCTTTCTTCTCTGCTCGCTGGTTCCCGGAGGCTCTGCCTGTATAGGGGAGCCAGACGCGAGGCAGCGGGTCTAAAGAAGGACAGGGGCCTGCTCTTGCTGCTTCCTTCCAGCTTCTGGCAGCCCCACCTCAGCAGTGGCCCTTGACCTGATACAATGGCTCTTGGTTCCAGGCGCTAGCTTCTTCTCTTGGTACTTTAGGAACTGGCTTCATCAGGCCCCTCGGAAGTCCCATCAGTGGCTGAGCCCCGGCTCCTCTGTAAGGCCTCGCTAAGCTTCTAGGCTCCGAGCACACCGCCTCCTCCCATTGTTCCTCCAGCCTCAGGGCCTGGTGCTTCCTGCAGTTACTTAGGTCCCTGGTACCAGGTTCTCTCTTCGCCCTTTTAGTTCTCCAACAACTGTTGACCAAATTTTCAGTGTCATTTCTTTGGAAATAACTTAGTGTGATTTCTGTCTTCCTGACTGGATCTTGTCAGAAACAAACTATCAACAGACCAAATGGAAGGAAAGGAGAAGGCAGAAAATATTCAGTGTGGATCTGTAGTTCCTAATGAAAGCAGCTTGTTGATGATTACTCGCCTTCTCATCTGCATTGTATCCTCTGAATTTCTTCATTTTCTTGTTGTCACATTCTGTGATTCCTTTGACAGTCTTGCTTTTCTTTCAGCTAATTGGAAGCTGTGTATTGAATTGGGGTAAGGATGGGAAATATGGTGAATCACTGGATGGAGTTTTCCAGTGAATGTCTTTCTTATAGTAGCTTATTGCACCATTAAAAATGTAGACTAATATAATTTAAAGAATTAAAGTCTTTTCAATCTTTTAATAGGGCATGTCTTTCCTTCCCTTCACCTACCAGGTAGATGATGGTTTTTAGCTGGTGATAGGCGCCCAGCCAAACATCTTTCTCAAATCTTCTGTGCACCAACCATCCTACTGACTTTTTCTTAGGAAATCCCATATGCAACTAGTCACTGTTTCCTAACTTCTTAGGTACCTCTGTCTTCATGAAACCAACTGCTCTGGAGAAAGTAATCACTATGATTGATGTAGTCTGGAAATGACCTATTGTTATAAAAGCATATTGTTTCTAGTAAGTATAAAGAATTTTTAGTAATTGATAAGTATTAGTCTCTGTCTGCCCTAAAATTAATAGTTCAGCTTCCTGTGTATCCACTCCACTATTTCATAAGGATAAAAGCAAGATGAAAGAGCGAGATGCAGGAAAGAAGTCTTCAGTGAATTCTTTTCACATCGTTAATTGT